GTGTAAGATTGTGCACTGCAACTTCTTCTGGTTTGGGCTGTTTCTGTACCTTCAAGGGTTCTGCCTCTATGTATTCCTTGTACTTCTTCTGAGCTTTGCTGAGCTCCATGTGCCTCTCTGCTTCCATAATTGACCTACTGAGCCTCCTGAGGATCTCTTGCTTAGAACCAAACTTTGAAACTCCAAGTTCCTTGCACAGTTCCCTAAGGGCCTTGAAGCTGTTCTGCTGGTTGTACTCATGACCATTGAATGTAAACGACAGTTCTCCTGCAAGTTCATGCCGGCGCTCTGGTGCTTGGGCCTCTGAGGTCTCTTCTTGTTCTTCTTCCTGTTCTGGGATTGTGTCCAGTTGGTGAACCTTTTGTTTTGGTCTCCTGGCCTTGGGGTTCACTGGCTCAATAAATTCAAATACACTACGTCCTGTCCACGACAAACCTCCTAGTGGTTCTGGGACTCTGTGAGGCTCCTCCAAAGTCCAAAACTTGTCATCTTCAAAGAAATCCTTGTTGATCGATTCTTCACCATGAGTGTACCTGTCTGGCTTGAGGTTCGTAATCTCCACTGGGATGTCGTTGGTATCTCGAGGATTGGACAAGGTCTTTCTCAATGAGTTATGATACCTAGTGAGCATCGTACCATCCATGCTGACCGACCATGCATCTTCAGTGTACTCTTGAAACATCTTCCTATCATCGTCTTCCTTGGGTGTACCTATGAGGTTCAGTGGAAACTCTTTGAGCGAAACTAGCGTCAGGGTTCGATACTCCTTGCTACCATCAAAGATTGTTCCAAATGGCTCTTCAAGTTCTTCGAACATAACACTGTGGTGCAACAGATACCACTGATCGTCGTCCTCAATGAGTACAGCTCGATATGCAAACTTTCCTGGTGGAAACATCAAGTAGGTGTCAACGTGCTCTGAAGTTCCTAAGCTGTAGTGGACTTGGTAAGGGTCTCTCCAGTTGGTCCAACCAACACGCTGTTCTTCAATGAGTTCCTTCAGGTTCTCGCACAAGTACATGGGAATAGGTTTTGCTTTTGTTTCCCAGTTGACTGCTCTCACAAAGGCTTTTGTTGTAAGTGAGTTGTTGTTGTAGTTCACTGCGATCTTGGTTGTTCCTTCTGTGAGGAAAGTGCCTGTTGCTGTTCCATCTGTGAACTCCCAACCTTTCTTCAACAGTTTACCTACTGCCAAAAGAGGGTGCACAACTGATGAAATCAAGAACACTTCTTCAACCTTCACAATGTTTCCTTGAACGTCCTGAAACTCGACCTCAATGATCCTATGATCTGAAACCTTTATGCGGGATCCTTGTGCGTCTCGCAAAACTACCTTGGTAGTGTTGGGTGCTCTTCTTCCGTACTTCTTCATCCACATCGGTGCCAACGAAATGTTGGCTCCTGAATCCAGCACAACCTCGATTTCTCGAGTTCCTGATCTTCTCGCTGCACGTACAAACCTGGTGCTTGGTCTTGAAGGTGTTGTTCCGTCAACTCTGTTCCTCCTGGGAGGATGGTGACATCCATACTCGCATTCCTGCATGTTCGGATGCCAAGGCGTTTCATGACAGCCATTGGGGCACTCATAGTGATATCCATCTTCTTGCGTTCCTACTGGAGTTCCTTCTAAGTGCCATTGCCACCATGTGTCATCACTCACCTCATCACAGTCCTGAAACTCATCATCTTCATCTCCAATCCAAAACTCTTCTGTCTCACTTCTCTCTTCCTGAACTTCTTCACCAACAACCCGTAAAACTCTTCCGAAGTACTCAATCTCAATTTCCCTAAATTTTCACTCAACTCGAATTTTTCCGGAAAGCTTGTGGGCTCGTCTCCCATGTGATACATGGAGACCATCCTAATCACTGGTCTTTGTGTTCCTTGGCTTGTTTGGCTCTGGCTTGTTGAGGTCTTGTTCGATGACGATGGGGCCTGGGTAGAGGTAGCAGTAGTGCTAGCTTGTTCGCTTTGGCTTTCCAGGTCTACGTTCCTCGCTTGGTAACCCATGTCACGCTGCTTCTGTCTACACTGCGCTTCAAAGTGTCCGTACTTGTGACAGTAGTGACAAACTCCTGTAGCTGCTTGGGCTGCTCGTCTCTGCCTCCGTGGGCAACTTTTCGGGCAATGCCGAAGAAGCAAAACACTCGCCATGAGTCGTTGATGCAGCCGAAGCTGAGATCACATCCGGCGAGGCCACCGAAGTAGGCGGAAATGTATCCAGCCTGAAGAACACGGGAAAAGCAGCAGACAATATCGCTCCTAAATCAGGTGGCCATTGCAATTCTGGTTCTCGAGCCCTAAAGGTCACGCCGCGCATCAATGGAGTGCGCGATCGCCAGCCGCCTCTCACACGATCAATGAAAGTGTCCTGAGCGACCAGTAATGGAGAGACGTCGTCTCGCCCATATAACGCACTCGAGGCCGAGTTCTTGTGGTGGCCCTGCAAGTGTCGAGCTTCAAGCGACATGTTCAGCTGCCTAAAAAATGCAAGTAATGTAACTTTCATGGAATGTAAAGTGTACTGTAGTTCTTGACCAGAAGGGAGCTGGCTCCACATGCAAAGCAATCGACGGAGTCTCGAAAGGCACTCTGCGTAAGTCAAAGGTCTAATGCAGTCGTTGTCCCAGAGGAAGAAAATGTAGTCAGGAGTGTCAGATGGATCAGAATGTAAATCCATAAGTTTCTCAAGGGCCCCGAGCCAATGTAGTAGCCAGCACTGCTGACGAGGTAGCCTCAGGAGGCCCGAGCTAATGCAGCCGAAGGCCATAAATTTTTGTGCCTTCGTTCGGTAAGCTACACCTCTAAAGCTGTCGAAGTCAATGTAGATATCTGACAGCCGAATGTGCTGAGAGTCACTGAAGCGAAGACTGTTCCAAATGCAAGCCAGAATGGATCCTGAGAAAGCAGTCTCCTCCAGTGTAGAGTAGCCGCAAACAATCTGCACCTCCATCCACAACATGAACGATAATGGACGAGGAAGGGCTTCTTTGGATGCATTTTGAGACTGCCACGCCCTGGCATGAAAAAGTCCATCATACAAGGATGGAAAGCCCGTGGGCTGCACTGTAGAAGAAAACCATCGTACAGCTTTGGGCACATTGATTGAATGCACGGACGAGTGATGGCTTCGGGATCTTTGTAGGGTATGAATGGAATCGATCAGTTGAACCTGCGTCAGCAATGAAAGATCAAAGCCGAGGTCCCGCACCGTGTGCAGCAATTGCCACATAACTGAAATGTATCTCAGCGCGGCGGTATCTGAAACACGGCGAAGCAACTGCTCCAGCAATGCACTCTTGTTGGAACTGCCAAAGATGTCACGAAGCAGTGCAGAGCAAGACAATGCAAACTCACAAAGCTCAGCCCACAATTGTAATGCCCGTGACCACTGCTTGGAATGAATCTCATCCTGCTTAATCACCTTGGAGCTACCCGTGGCAGCTCCTGCTTGCAGGAGCGCGATGCCCCGCTTGGTGCCAGGCACTGTGGGCAAAGGACCCTGAGTGTGCTGACCTGGGCCGACCACGGAATGCCGTGGAAGCAAAGTGCCCTGAGATGGAGGCGAACTCTTCGAGAGAGCCCCCGATGCCTGAGCAGCCGAATGCAGATTCTCAGAGGGGTAACATGCATAAGCTCCGCGAGCAGAAGGAACCGGACGAGGCTTGGGCACCGTCTTGGGCACCCCGATGGAGGCCCTGAGTGGAAAAATCGGCCTTGATTTTGCATGTTGCCAACGGATGCAAGCTTGTCGCCCGGCCGCGGCCAGCACTGGATGGGATCGGACGAGCCAAAGGAGCCGGCTTGGGATGCACATCCATATCCACCGGGTCAAGGCACTGTTCCTGCTGAGAAAAGGCCGGCAGTACTGGCTCTGAAATCTCTTTGACCAAATCTTCAAAGGAAAGCCGCCCCACACGAAGCGGGGAGAAATGCAACGATCCTGGCGATGAAAATGCAGGTGGCTTCTCATGCACTGGCGATACCAAGCCCCACGAAGAAGAACCAGATTTATCCACCGATGCAGACTCAGAAGCACCAAGAGAAGCATCGAATGAACCTACCAGTTCACAATCTCTATTTACGACAGCCAGCTCACAACTACAATGAAGCTACAGCGAGGCTCTCTTTTGACTGGTGGTGCAACGGCTGAAGCAGTGCAAGCTATGCTGAAGCAAAGCAAGCATTGTCAAGCTGTTGTCGAAAGCCCATAAAAGCTACCAGGAGAAAGGAGTCTCGCGCTGCACCACCAAATGAAACGGTGAGACGACTGCTGAAAAGCTCACGCCGCATGACATGTCCCAGAAAGGCGTAAAGCATCAATGGTTGTCGGCATCGTGAAAAAGCTGCAATGTAGGCGCTTCCCAGGAGGGCTGGAAGCCGTCAGGATAGAATGAAACGCAACGCTCTCGAAACCAAAGCTGACGTAGGTCAAGTCGTACTCGAAAACTCGGAAGAATACCAGAGGGTAAAGCATCCTGTCCGTTCCAACGAGACAACCAATCAGCCAACTCATTGCGAGGTCCAGAAATGTGCGTCGCATCGAGCTCTATGCCAGAAAAGCAGCTAAAAAGCGCTAAGCGTTGAGCAAAAATACTCAAAGGATATGATGAAGTAAAAACCTTGTTGCTGACTGACTCCGCACCAGTATTGTCTGACCAGCTTGGTATCCTTACGTGCATTCGGCCTCCTGGGGTAGCCGCTGAAAGGCAGTGAAGCAAAGCAATCTGAGCCAAGCATTCATAACATGAAATGTTGTCGGATGCACGCGAACTAAGTTCAATGCCTGCGAATGCAAAGTCCGAAACTGCAAAACCTTCGCTGAACCAAAGAGTAGCCGACGAAAGCTTGAGCCACTGGCAAAGTTGGTACCAGACCCCATTGCATCAGCTGCTGCGACCAAGGTGATCCTGGGAGTAAATTGTAGCGGTCGAAGCAAGGTCTTCAATTTGCACCAATGTTGCCAAAAGCTCAGAAAAGCAATGCTGTTCTTGGACAGCTTACGTTTCACCTGAGAAGGGTCAGCAACACGAATCCAAACGCGCTTAGAAGAAAGCGCGATTTTTGCAAGGTCAGAGCGACGTCGACTAGGCATATGCCTGACATCAATCAGTTTGGCGCCGAGAGGGATGGCAGTACCAGCAGGTACACGGACAAAGAGTAAATTGTCGTCAACGCAATCATGCAGATCAGCAAAGTAATGTGGGTCGATGCTATGCAAAGTGGCAGGGGGGCAGTGAAGATCCTTGTAGAGTACCCCGACCCACGGTCGAAGATGAGGAAAGGCACGCAGAAACCACTGAATCATGCCAGTCACCTTGTGCAAGTCCCGCTTGTGCGCGTTTTCAGAGTTGCGCAGCAAAGCTGTGACCTGCGAAAGCAAACGATCTCGCTTACTCTGTGGAATAGAAAAGCAGCCTGCACGTACATTGATACACCAGCCTATCCACACCACTTCTGGTCCAATGTCCAGCTTGCGCCAGCTTAAAGGAATATTAAAGCAGACGCAGAATGCTAAAATCAGCACTGTGGTGGCCAAGATGGTGGACTCCCCTTGCGTCAGAAAGAAATCGTCTACATATAACTACTATAACATGAGCGAATGTCTGATATAGATCAGAAGATGTAAAGCACGAACGAAAAAGCTGCCCAGTCGGGCCCACCACAAAGCACTGAAACATGCTCCGAAGGGACAAACGGAATAAAAGTAGTGTCGGCCGTCACATTGAACTCCAAGCAAGCCGCGGTCACTCTCCTTGACTTTCATTGTTTTATGCGCAGATTTCACATCTATAGTAGCCGCCGAAAGATTGCAAGCCGGCCCCCGTAATGGAAAAGAAGCTCGGGCCGATCCCAATAGCGGCAAAGTATAGGTCTCATCAATCTGGCATAAAGCATTGGTGTTGCAAATGGAATTGTCCACAACCAGACGGTCAGGTCGACCCTCACTAGAAACGATGCTCATCTTCCCAACTGCACATCGATCAGGCCACCTTTCTAAAGCAGTTTCCAGTGGCACCTCCTGCAGGAAGCCAAGCTCCACTTCCTTGGCCACCATTTCTCGGAGAAGTGCAGGGTTCGCTTCGGCCGACGACCAGTTGCCTTCACAAAGGATGAGATCAACATCGGCAGGATCCCCTACCGGACGCTTTGCAAAAACGTTACTGGCTGGGATATTCTTGTCAAAGCCGGTGGGCACCCCCTCGATCAAAGCAGGAAAGAGTGATCGATCTGGGTCAGAAAGCATGGTGCTGAATACTGAAAGTGCCCGAAGGCAATAAGGCTGCTCAACATCAACCGTCCAATCAATGCTACACGGGCCTCCCTGCGATGCAACCCACTGGCCAAAAAGTGCCCGAAGTTGAGACACCTCTTCAGGCAGAAAGAAACTGCCCTCACCGTGCTGGGATATGTGTTCCTGCAATCGGCTAGGCAGTCGCTTGGCGAAAAGAAAAGACAGCCATGATTGCCGTAATGAAGCCAGCTTGTTGGGTACTCCCGGCGGAGGACAGCTCCAGTCAGGCCTGGAAAGCAAATGGAGGAACACCAAAGTCTTTGACTGGAATTTTTCTCACAGCTGAAAGCAGGGAAAGATCTAAAGCGTCACCAGAAAGCTGCAAAGGAGACAGGGTCCGCAAGAGTTGCGAAACTAAGTCAGCTGGAAGCTGGCAATAATCAGAATGTGAAAGGCCAGCAGTATTGTTGCTGGATAACACCGGTGACGATGCCGAGAGTGCTCTGAGGCCGTGAAAAGATGATGCAAACAACCATCCAATCTGATGAATTTACCAGAACACATGCAGCTGAAATCTCTGAAAGCAGATGCCGCATCAATGGGTGTTCCCAAGATGAAGAGATAGCCGACTGTATCATGCAAACGTGACCTCCAGCCTGAAATGTCGCAAGCAGCAGTGTTGCACACCGTTCCAAAAGTGCTGGGGTGGCCGATCCGGTAGGCTCTGAAATACGTGGAACCTCAGAGCAGGCCGGGGGATTCGCGAATGCGAACCAAATCATACCTGAGAAGCAAACTCGAAGCAGCAGTTCGAACTGGTGGTCCACCATAATGTCAATGGGTTCTTGAAACGCTGAGTCCACTGACAACACCGCAAAACCAAGGCCAAGGGCTGCCAGAGAAATCGGCCGAGTGCTTCCACAGCACACGTCCAAAAGTATCTTGCCCTTGCTAGAAAGCAACGATTCGGAAAGAATGCCAGGACCCGAAGCCGGAGCCTGGGTCGGAGAAATCACTGAAGAAATGAGAGCCTCATCCACCACATCTTCTGGTAAGTGTGGCGTGTTCGAAGAAAGGTCACCTGACAAAGCAGGTGGCGAAGGCAAAGCTTGCGTCTCAGACCAGTCACCTGGAGGAAGTGGCAAGGGAGAACCTTGGCTGCTGCACTGTTCCTCAGAAGACGAAGATGTGATCGAGGACACATGCGTACCCCTCACCGGGCTCCTCGAAACCCCGCGCGGGCAACCCTATTGGGCATTCCCCGGGTGCTCAAAAGCAGGATGGGACTTGCCACAGGCATGGTTATCAGCATTGGCCACACAGCAGCAGTGCAGAAACTTGGAATTCTTGCCTCGGGAGCAGCCCTGGCGACGATTGTAATCCATACAAAGCATCTTCTTCTCGCTCTTATCCATAATTCCATAATATGGTTGACCCAGGGCACACGCTCAGAGGCACCGGTGGAAGGTGTGCCAGTGTTGCCTTTGCCTGTGTTCGGAAAGCTTTTACCGAAGCCTTTCCCCTTGCCTTTGCCGCCACGTCCACGGCCCAACGCCTGAAAAGCATTCAAGTCCTTCAGCTTGACGGGGGCAGCACGAGGCTGCAACCAGGTGCTAACACCGGCACGAACATCAACCACCTCGTGGATCGCATCATCCAAAGCAAAGCCTTTCACACAAAGCTCAGAGATCGAGGACCAAAGCATGCGATCTGCATGTTGCATCTCTTCGGAGTTCGGCCCCCGGAGTCCGGAATCCGCGCCAACCTTGGCAAAAGCAAAGCGCATGAAGGCGCGCTCGTAGCTTCGAAGTGTGTGTAGGTGTGCCGCCCCACACAAAGCCGAAGCAGTCGAAAGCAGGCCGAGGATTTGTTGACAATGATACATCCCCATCCCGCCCGACGAGGGAATCTCACGCGTAGGCACATCATCGAAAAGCAAGTCCGAAAGCTCAGAGCGAGCACGCTTCGCCGGTTTGGCCATCTGCTGCTCCTCGTGCAACTTGACCGACATGCGAAACTTCCAAGGCACAAAAGCAAACTCCTTGGTACACGACTGCTTGTACACGTGTGAAAGCAAGCGAATAGATGGCATCAGTTCTGGATCCAAAAGCTCGCTAGGATATTGTTCGAAGAAAGCATCCCTCATTTCGTTGACTTTCGCCGGGGAAAGCTTGGGTGCAAAGGTCTCAGCCCAAGACCCAGGAGTTGCACCATCCGGGGATGTACCTAAGCCACCTGCAGGAGGGCTCGGCGGGAAGCCGCCCACAGGTGTTGGCCGCAAAGAAGCGTGGCAATTCAGTTAAACTGTAAAACCCTGACCGGTCACGCTTTTGCTCTTGAACCAAAGGCGCTGCGTAGGTCACACACTATACAACTATACCGTAGCCTGGGCTCACCAAAGGTGTGGGGCGTTCCTATGTACAGAATTCAACACCCTGCCTCGAAGTCCTTGTGCTGTACTTCGATCGGTCTGCGGTCGGGCATACCTCCGCCCGTGACTGCATAGGCTTTGCCGTTGCAAGTCCTTGGGTTAAACACTCCGTGCAACCCACCTTTTTACCGTCCCCCAATTAGGGAGGTGTGTCAGACCGTCCATGTCCTGACATTCGTACAGTAACAAGTACTTCGTCCTAGTGAAACAACTTGTCTGTGTGAAAGTTGCTACAGCGCTCTTCCTTCTTTTGAGCTTTCCGCTGCGGCGTTCCGAGGTGAAACCTTTTCAGTCTTGCCTACACTCACTGCTCTGTCTCATACTCGTACACGATGTAGGGCTTACTGACTTCCGAACAACGTACGTTCCTCCGTACTGTCTGGCGTACCGGGATCCGCTACTTGCTTCGGGCTTCCAAACAGATCCATTGGGATATCCGATCCTTGCGCGCGTTCTCCTGACGCTTCATAAGTCTCATTGCATTGTCTGCAATTCTCTTCATACGATTCCTGTGCTTCTGGGGGTAGCATCTTGTTCCCCATCTCTTCCACGCTTATCATCTTTCCACGGCACTCAATCATCTCCGGTTCCTTCTTCTTCTCCGGTTCTTCCTGAGTCACTCCTGAAATGACTCTGCTTCCACGCACGTAGTCTTCCTCACTTATCATGGGCATACGAGTTCCGTCCGTATGTGCAATTGCTGGTGTCCCCATTGCTGCTCTTCCACGTCTCTTCAGGGATCCTTTACCATTGCCACTTTTCTGTACTCCGGCATTCCACTCATGCCTTGTCTCTCCCGTTCCGCGGGTTTCTTCCTTTTCAGTGGCATCCTCTGTTACGGTACGGTCGTAACTCCTTCGCCATTGTTCCGTCGCATATTCTTTGATACACGGTGTACAGGCGCATTTCTGGTGGTTCTTTTTCTCCCTTGTACACTTCCTGATTCCGCACCAGTGACATTGTTTTGTGCATCCTCCGGTAGACTCTACTTCGTAGTCAAGGTCCATCACTTCCCAGTCGCTTTCATCTGGGATTGGCGGCTCTACGCGTCCATGGCGTTTTCGCATGCTTCCTTCTGGCTTCGTCTCCGGGAAACAAACCCAACAGTGTCTGTAGCCCTCCGCTACAGCTTCACTTTCTTCTTTCCAGATCCATTTGCCAGAACGCATATGGCTTCCTTGAACGTGCCAACATGTTCCCTTGTGAAACACACGGGCCTTTGACCCTGTCGATATTTTCACCATACCGACTCCTTTGATCTGGCCCACCGTTCGCATACACTTCTTCCACATACTGATTGCGTACGGGGCTGCGAGTAGCATTACGCATACAATCATACAGACCTCGAACTTCGTAAATCCATCCATGGCGTCCATACCTTTTCCAAAGGCTTCACTGGCTTCTGCTCGGGCGTCCGCTACGTCCTCCTTGAGCATTGCTGCGGTAATCGGCTTCATCAGATGAAATACCTGTATTGCCCTAATGAGGTTCTTGATTTGTCCACTTCCGACATACTCCTTCAACCTCTTTTCCTGTTCATGCTTTTCGTGCTCTTTCTCTCCAGTGTACTCCAGGTCCAGGTTTCCTTCCTCATCATACTCTACTTGGGACAAGTGATACAGTAGGAATGACCTCCGGGCATATGACAACTTCTTGGTGTTCAGATCCGCTACATTGAGCGCGGTTCGCACCGTTCCAAGCTTTACAAGATTGTCTCGTACCCAATCTTGCAGTTGACTTTTTCACTTTCCAACGCTGGGCTTCGAAAAGTCCTTTGCGAACCCGCCGATGGACCACAGTGGGTCATCGCGAGAGGTGCCGCACTTTGTGCAGCAGAACACTAACTTGTACCTGGGGTACGCAGAACTACGAGCTACGGCAGAAGCTAGAAGCACGACACTACGGGCTACGGCTGCAGCTACGGCACTACGGCAAAACTGCAGTGCAGAAGCACTTGGGGACTGCAAGTCACACACGAGTGACGCGGAACCACTTGCACTCGCGACAACGCAACAGCTGTCCCCTAAGGAGATGGCACCGAGCGTGGCTCTTTGGTATAGCAAAGAAGGTAAGCATTCGCATATATCTCAGCAAGTTCGGCGGGTTTGGCAAGCTTAGCAACACGATTGTCGTCAGTGTAGAAAACCTTACGTGCCATATCCTCAAACAGAGCCGCTCTGTAATGGCCAGTTGCCATTCGGGGGCCAATGTGGACGATGGCCGCTCGTAAGTGGTACTTAGAAACCCTAGTGGTGTGGCCCGAAAAGTAAGGAACCTTCAAGACGGGGTCGAGAGTAACAGGCTCTAAAACCTTCTGGGCATCGGCATCGTCAAGATCAAACCGTGCAAGCTGGAGGATCAGGCATTCTGGCGTCTGCAGCAGAGCATGCGCCGGGGCCTGAGTGTGCCACAAATCGACAAGCTGTTGGACAGATAAGTGGCTTAACAGAGGCGCGGTCAAAAGAAGTGGACAGGTGTCTCCCGAATCCCGCACCTGATCATGGGAATCGCGGGCTTGCCACAGTCCTTGAAGTGCAGGAGTCTGCATGCGCGCCTGAAGGTGTTGCACAAACTCAGCAGCGTCGTGCTGCTCTCGAGGATTCCTCCAATCAGCGAGGAGCTGTTGCCAACCAAGCAGGCTCCACAGGCCAAAAGGTTGCCGTCCTAGTATGCAAGCCTCCAAAGCGATGAACACATTTCTCGGAATCACCGCCTGAGTGCATGCACGACTGCACCAAAGCAAGGCTGCAAGTGAGGCGTTCGCATAGCAGAGGTTTGAGCCGTTAGTGAGGCGCATCCTCAGCTGGACTACGTCGTCGACCTTGCGGCTAGGTCTGAAGGAAGTGCTCACTGGGGTAACAGCTGGAACCGAGGGAGAGCTTAGGGTTAAGGCAGGGGCGGCGCAGGCAGGTACTTGTAGATCTGCTGGGCAAGAGGGGACCTCGTCAATCTTTCGGGTTTGATGGACATGCCGATCACCTGACAGCAGCCGCTGCCGCAGAGCTCCGCGAGGGAGGCATGCATTTGATCGCTCGGTGTGGAGCGATTGGACACCGACGCCAGGAAGGTGATCGATGGGCCCTTGAGTTCCGATGCCAGAGGCCTGGTGGGGGCGAACCGAGTCAGCAGCTGGGAGTCCGTGGCCAGACGGATCACGTTCTCCACCAGCTCGATCGCCGCCGTCGCCGTCAAAGGTGGGCGAGTGGTGTCCGGGACCAGCTTGGCCTGATCCGGGTCCCACCGAAGGAAGTTCCACTTGCCCTCGTCGGTGAGAAAGCCAAGCTTCTTCATGTTGGTTTGGATCTCCTGTGTCATGCGAGCCGGTTGCAGTCGCTGCAGAAATTCGCGCCAAACGCACATCCACAGGGTGAGCCGCAGGGGATGCGGGAGGAGTGGTTTCCCGATCGGCCTTCCACTTGGTCGCCACCGCAAACAGGGCCTCCGAGACTCCGCCCGGCAAGCCGGTGCGCATCCAGATGACGAAGGATGTGTCCAGCATGAGGGTCTTGATCGAGTCCTCGTGCCGTACCATCAGGCGAATCATCATGTGGCACAGGGTCCAAAGCTGGGCGACTTCCTCGTCCTTTGTCTGACTGCTGTTGGCACTGCCTTTGCCCTTGCCTCCGCCCTTTTTGCCCTTTCCTTTGCCTTTGCCCTGCCTGGGGTCTGTCTTCTGAAGCTTGCTTGGGGGTTCTAGCGGTCGCTTGGGCGTCGTCGAGGGCGCCGTCATCATGGCTGTGTTCATGAACGCCGTGTAAAGCTCCCACTCTCTCTCCTCCTCTTGGTCGTGAGTCAACTTCTGGTCCACGTCCATCGTCATGGCTTGGACTAGGGAGTAAATCGGGATCAAGACTAGAGAAGACCGACTGCCAAATGACCGTGCAACCCTCAGCATGCCGACATGGAGCACATCGGTAAGCTTGTGAACAGAACTGACATGGACGTTGTACCTGAACAGCTTTTGCCTCCTTCACAGCTTGATTCAACCTATCCACAGCCGAAGGATGTTTGGCACGAATGTGGATCTTGATGCGACTGCCGTCGTTCGCCCATAAATTGCAAACTGGGCAGTTGTGAGCCATGCGAGCATGCAGTTCGGCCTTAGAGGCAATGTTTTGCCAGCGCCTGAGATGTTCCCTGGGCTCCGCTCTCAGGCAGGGCTCGTCAAGCAGCCTGGCAGCAAAAGGTGTAGGGGGAGGGGGGGGTGGAGGTGCAGTCTCCGGGGGCACAACAGGTGCGCATTCACTGAGGGTCTCACAAGCTGGCACGGCCGTTGTGGGTGCAGAAGATGGAGCCTCTTCCCGGTCCGAAGACCCCAGCAGAAGAGGTTGTGCAGCATTGAGCCGCTTGGGCACACAACTATCAAACTGAATGTGCAAGTTAAAATTTCTCCACCCATTGAACTCACGAAGGCAGTACTTGCATGTGGGAACACCGTTGAGGGAATGCTCAACTTGATTGATTGAGGAGAGGGCCTTCTTGACATCACGATGCGCCTGAGCACCATGTGCACGTACCCGATGGCGTTGGAGCAGGCCTGAGTTCGCGAAGGTGCACGGACAATCAGGGCAAGCATATGGGCGAGCAACCAAGGTCACTTCTTGAAGTGACGTGGCAGCCTGAGTGGCACCTGAATTCGGGGCATGTGCTGGCGTCGGTGCAGCAGCCTGAGTGCCAGTCGAAGCGTGGGCTTCAGAGATATCTGGTCCATTCTTGAGAGCGCCTCTGTGCAAGAAGTGCGTCCGTTGTGCATTTGGTGTCGGCTGGGATGTGGGAGCAGTGTTCGGCGCCTGTGGTGCAGCGACGGGCGGCTGTGCGAACGCGGCCTGAAGAATGACATGCCACTGTGCAACCCTATCGAGCTGAAGCGACCGGTCGAGGGCCTTGAACCGGGTCAGGTTGGTGGCGGCTTCCTTCGAGAGGAGTGCAACTGGATCAAAACCCAGCTCGGTGAGGAAGGCATCCGTGGTCACATGCGTGTCCTTGGACAGCTGTCCACTGACAATGCGAAGGTGTCGGGCAACGATTCCCCGGATCCTGACAGTGTCTTTGGTTTCAAGCTGCAGTGCTGTGATCCCGTATTTCAGGCATGGCCAAACCGTCGACATCCACAATCGCCGCCTGGTGTGGCGGCTGAGATTGTGTCTGGCGCTGAGCACTTGTCGAAGCCTGGAGAAAAGCTGCCCCGCCCGATGGTACCGGTGGGTAATGCTGTGAAATTCCAAGGCTCCGTAGCTGAGGATGATGCCGAGATATGGGTGCTTCTTAACAACCGGAAAAGCGCAGTCGGGTGCCACCCGCAGTTTGGAGACGCCTTTGTCTTTGAACCGAAGTTTGCCCATGGTTCGCTCAGCCTGTGTGCCATGCAACTGGTAAAGAATCACACTCTTAGCATCACTGACCTCCATGCCGTGAAAACGTAAAATCTGAACCAGCTTGTGCAGTTGAGCAAGGAAGTCGGTAAGATCCGAGGATGTACGAATCATCCACTGTGCAATCAGGTCGTCAGCATAAATGGTGAGTATTTCTGATGCTTGGGGCCCCAGAGCAGCAAGTAGCTGGCGGTACACATAGCCCGTCGCGAGCGCCCATAATGCAGGGGATAATGGACACCCCTGACGAACCCCCCGAGAGGTGGCACAAGAGGCTTTGAGGCCACAATGTTCAAGCTCAACAAGAAGCTGGGAATGAATGGCGAGGACCTGTTGAACAATGGGCTCAGGTATCATGGCATCACGCATACCAGCAGCAATCATCGTTCTGGGAAGGGAGTCAAACGCTTTGGCCACATCCAAAGAGAATGTGACCCCGCCCACGCATTGAGCTCTGGAGGTTGAGTCGCGTCGTCGTTGTACCATGCGCTCTCCGGTGGGGGCTGCCGCCCGGACACTATAAAAGTGTGACACCACACGGTGCATCGCTTCCACTGTTGATCGCCCCTTCACGTATGCATACTGAGGGACGTCGGCAATGTAATGTTGGAGATACGGTGCAATGAGCTCTGATAACATGATCGCGTGTACTTTACTGGCCGGGCTTAATAAGCTGATTGGGCGAGTATCCGATGGCTGTTGCGACTTTTTGGTGGGTTTCGGCAATAAACAGAGCGAGACCCGCCTAATGGGCATGGGAAGCATGTGGGGTATGTTCGAAAACGCAGCATTGAGACAGTCACTAAGCACAGGGCCCACCTCTTGTGCAGCAAGCTTCCATAGGACTCCAGGTGAAGCCGAAGGATGCGCGGCCTTCAAGGCCGACAGAGACTCAAGGGCCGATGTGCACATGCTTGAGTCGAAAAGCTGAACACTGCAATCGAAGACCTGTGTCGGGCAAGCCCTGGAAGAAGCGAATAGATCCCTGAAGTATTGCAGCAGTGTGTTGCACTCCGCCTGGGGATCCTGAAGGTTTCCCTCGGGATCGCGGATTTGCAACCGCGTCCTGACCTTGCGAGGAGCAAGGCGGTTCACCACACGATACAATGCAGATATCTGGCCCTGCTGCGCCGCCCGCTCCGCCAAAGCGGTTTGCTCGAGAAGAAAGGCCTTCTTACGAGCGCGGCGCTCAGTAACGACCGTGCGCTCAAGTGCACGGATCTGATGATCAAGCCTCCATGCCGCGAAGGCTGCACGCAGGCAGTAGGCAGGTGGCCTGTGGGTCAGTGCATCTCGTTCGTTGCGCAACTGCCAAAGAGTGCGCACGGCTGTGGCTTCGGCCGGCACAGTAGCAGCTGTCCCAGCCGGCGCAAGGGCACCCCGTGCTCCCGCCGGTTGGCTATGAGTCCAGGCCTGAGTCAAGCATCGATCAATGTCAGCAATGGTGGGTTGTTGGGGTAGGGTGGCCCTCAGCTTTTCACGAAAGGCTTGCTGTCGTTCAGGATTGTTCCGAACTGCTTCCCAAACGGACCAAGGCTTCAAAGTCAAATGCTTGGAACGAGAGTGAACCCAGGGACACCACGTGAAAGGAAAAGAGCCTCGGACCGGTATGTGTCGAGAGCCCAATCGGCCCATGGCCACCGGCCAATCCTGCACCGGTCCGCTGGCCAGGCTGGTGCCGTCAGCATGTGCCCCACGCAAAATGATGCAATCAATCTGTGTTTGGGCACTGGTGGCTGGATTGACAAACGTTGCGCCCGGGGCCTGACCAAAAGTGTTGGTCGCAACCAGCCCAAATGTGCACAACGTGTGAAGCAGCTCCTGACCGTCTTGTTGCGGGGGAGGGGTGCAAGGGATGCCCCTGCCAACTACTCCTTTGCATGATGCGAGCTGGGTGTTCAGGTCACCTGTGAGGCACAAAAGGTTGCGACGTGGGAGCGACCTAAGAGAACCACACAGCTTCTGCAAGAACTGAGCCCTGCGGCGCATGGCATCCTGCCACCAGTCGGTCTTGCTGTCCTGTTTTCGGTGATGCCAGGCGAACTGATACGCATGAAGAAGGTCTATAGGCTGATGTCCTGCTTTGGGTGTGATCCGCAAGTGCTGCAATCTACCTGCGATGATGGAGCTATGCCTAATGCCCTCCGGGGTGGCTAGACGCTTGGAGATGCAAGTCAGCAAACCGGCCTCCTTGGGGGCACCACTGCTGTGGTGCACAAAGCACCAATGGTCATCATCCCACTGCAGGTCGTCCCGCCAAAAGGTCTCCTGGATACAGACAATGTCTACGCGATTGCTGTGTGTGCGAAGCCACTCCTTGAGCTCTGCCCACACCAGGGTGGTCAGTCCCCCAGCGTTCCACGTAAGCAGGCTGCAACGTCTAGGGGAGGGAGCATGTGCAGAAGTTTTGGCAATGTGAGGCCGTGCACTTCCTGAGCTGCCAAGCCTATGTGTACAGGAGGGCCGTGCCGGCGTGCCGGTCGTGGCGTCTTCCCCTGCGTCACGGGATGTGGCTGGGCCAGCGGCCCTGTGCACTTGCAAATGCCTACCCTCGAAAACTGAGCCTCGGTAAGGTGCTACTCCAAACTGCTGCGCCGTAGTGATAGCTCTGCGAAGTGCCCTCTTGCGATGGGGCAACTTGCGGGTGTTATGGCCTGGCTTCGCCTCTGATTGGCGGTACATGGAGTCTTGCGATGCGGCTCCAGGATCGTCGGCCTCCGATCCAACCCTCGCGTCTGCAGGCTCTCTTGCACTTGTGTGATTTGCAAAATGCGGCCTGCCCCTGGACTTGGGACCAGGGCTGGTTCCTGTGGTCATCATGTACGGTAGCTCTGTGGGTTTTGCTCGGGCTGGGTCATATTCATCAGGGGTGTGCGGCATGAGGACAGGAGCGTGCGGGTTCAGCGTGTGTCCTAATGCGAAAGAAGAGACAATCTCAAGCGCAGGCTCACTCAAAACCGCAGGTCCAATCCCTAACTCGGTTTCAAAGTGCAATGCAGGAACTCTCTGAGGTTGCGACGTGGCAGGCACGAACTCCGGTGCATGCGGGTTCAAGGGCGCTGCAGCACCCGTTGACAGCACGCGGTGAAAATCGTGCTCATGGTTCGTGGTCGGCTCCATCTGCAAAACACTGAAAGATGAGAAGCACGCACCCAAAATCAAGCTGAAAATCAAGCTGAAAATCAGATTGGCAAATGGCAACCGTGCTGAACTCATGGGTCGTGAGGGACGTGGCAGGCAAGTCTGCAGTCCAGCGCCTGCTCAGCTTCAGCAAGCACAGCCGGGTATGCTTTGCCAACGAAAGCAATCAGCTGGAGGCACTCTCCGCGAGGCAATGTCTGCAATGCGTCGAGAAAGAACTTGCTCACTGAAAGAGGTGCCCACAAGTTGGCAGCTAAAGTCCGGGCGTAAATGCTGTCGTTCACAACACAGACCTCGCCAACTAGTTCGCAGGCAAACAGTTTGGTATGCTGCACTGGTGTAAGCAATGACGGGGCTGCAAGATATGGCACTACGCGTGCTCAGGTAGCACGATCAGCCGCTACCCCGCCCCGCTACCCGCCCCTACTCCTCCCAAGGGTCGAACGAACCGGGCAACACGGGGAAAAACCACACGGAGGAGGGGAAACCCGGGTGCCCTGAACAAACCCAAACCCAGACCCGAGCGAGGGCCCACCGCTACCAGTTCTCTTGAACCGAGACGCTTCTTGCAGTTGACACAGCCTAACGTCCACATGCTTCAGACGTCCAACTCCTCTTCTTTGGCTCCACTGTCGTGCAGATGATGAATCGCACCGTATCTCCACGCGCACAGGCGCGTTTACTAGGAACTCAAATAGCCTTCCGACTAGGATAGCTTCTCCGCAAGTTCCACTTAGTGCATACAACTCTGCTTCACACCTTGATGATGATGTGGCCTTCTGGGTCCTCGAAAATGATAACACTTGTACTCCATTCAGTACAATGATTCCTGATGATGTACTCTTCCTTCGGGCTCTGTCCGGTGTTTTCAGGCTTGCCCAATCGCTGTCCGAATACGCTTCCACTACATGTCCTGCATCCTTGGCAATTTCTTCATCCTCTTGGCCATTCAACTTCGTGATCAACCGGCTTCCGATTTCGGTATACGGTAACAGAGTAGCCCTTGTGGCTGTTCCACTCAAATACAGAATCAAGTGCTTCAGACACTTTAGTGCCTGCACTGTAGGCTTCGACATACTTGATGCCAAACACTTTGAGGCATACTGAATGTCAATTCTGTCCTGTGCAAGGTACAAAATAGATCCGAGTCCAGATCTAAACCGTTTTGTCTCTTCAGCACTCAACTCCTTGCTCCGGTCTTCCTTCACCAGATCCACGTGCTCTGGTGTGGCCTTACTCTTAAGTTTTCCAAGGTCATACAACTCAATGAGCTTCCGGACATACTTTTCATTCGGTTGGACAATAATTCCTTCTTGCGTGAAGACATACTTCCTTTTGAGATACCGCATTTCTTCTCCACTTCCTACTCCATTCGCTGGATACGGTCCTTCTTTCTCCACCTTGAATACTTTCTCCAGTTCTTCCACCAACCAAATGGTTTCTTCCCTTTCTCCTGCTAGCAGCTCGTCGTCTACATGGATAGAGATACACAGCTTCCTTGTGGTGTGTCTAGCTAGTGCGGGTACATGTACTGAGAACACAAATCCAAGTTTCTCCAGTATACTCCGCAAGTGTTCATACCATCTTGTCGCTGCGTTCCTCTGTCCGGGTAGGCATCTCTTGAGCCTCCACACGGTTCCTTCTTTCAGGTTCGCTGCTCGTTTCATCCAATCACTGATTGTGATCAGTACCTCTTCTTGTTGCGGGACCTGAAGGTACGCGTCCTTTATATCTAGTACAACTACGACCCAGTTGTACACCAGATGTAACAACAAGACTAGGCGCGACGCGGCGATGCTTGCCGTTGGGCTGAATGTCTCAGCCTCAGCAGTTGAACTCGCACCTGCCCTGTACTCCCTTGCTACTATCCGGCACCTCCTTTTCCACCGTCCGTCACGATGCCTCCAGTCGTAGACTTCGCGCAGATCCATGCGCTTCTCATCACCTGTCGCATTCGCCTCCATGAATTCTTCGATTACTCCTAGCTTGCTAAGGCGATTCAATTCTTCCACCGCGGCTTCCTGATCCAAGATATCCAGTTCCTCTGGACTTAGTTCCGGTGGTGTTTCTCCTTGGTCATTCTTTGGAACTTCCTCCATCTCTTCTTCCATGAGATCTTCGTACTCAATGTGTTCTCCTTCTACTGCCGTGAGATCCTCATGTTCATCCCAATGAAATGGGTCATCTTCCTGAGATACCCTGCCTGCGAACAAAGGCGGGTAGATTCCTTTTGAAGGCGATGATGGTGCTGATGGCATTTCACGAGACTTCTTAGGAGATCCTTCAACTTCTTGTCCTCCTTCTACTGCTCTCTTCCGCAGATCTTCCAGCATGGTCTCGTCGCCTACACGTTCTTCGGGTTCTCCAAAAGAAATCGTGCATTGAACTTGAACTCCGGGGGTGGGAACTAGATCCTGCGCTGGCCCTGCCTCCATCTGAGGCCCTGCCTCCGCTTGAGGCTCCACTTGTGTCCAGCAGATCCAACAGTTCCTCGACCTGTTCTTCTTGGGACTGTCCTCGATCTTCCGCACGAACTACTGGTTCTTGTGCCGTTCCTTCTTCCGCGATACTTGCCAACGCTGGGGCTGGTAACGGCTGTCTACTGTACGTTCCTTTTGGCTTCTTGGGATTCCATGGAGTTACACTCAACTTCAGTACTGGTTCCTTTCTCCATCCAGTGGCGATTCGCCTTACCGATCCTGTTGCCAAGATTCCGTCTTCAACTCCTACCAAGTGCATGTCCTGGGAGTTCTTACCAAGGTAAATTCCTCCAATCCAGTTCGCTGTTCCTTTCTTCTCGGGTTTCTTCAGCGCATACACATACTCGCCGAACGGGGCGATCTTCCCAAGGTAAGGTCTACCAACGACACTTTCGTAAGGGGTTGACCCTATCGCGGCGTGTCTGTGGTACCTGTTCAGCAACCATGACGCATGGCAGAGTCCCCAGGCCCACACTGCATGGCCTTCAGGAATCTCTATACCAAGCTTTCTTTCGGCTGCTCGTACCACCGTCTGGATAACCTTTCCACTCTTGCCGTTCTTCCTTTCTGATACGGCTTGCTGTTCTGATCGTGAGTCTTACGGTTCATCTTCCTCCGAGTTTCCACGATTGCAGCTATCAGAGACAACATTGCCTCTTCCGAATCTCCAACAAATCCGACTTCCTCCAAGTGTCCAAGACTGTGTACCCATTTCAACACTTTCTCCACTGTCTTCCTTTCCGTCTGCTTTCCAGATACTGGGATCACAACTGACATCCTTGTCCACGAACAGATTCCAACCAATGCTGGTGTGTCCTTTCCTTGTAGAAACATGAAATCCAGCTGAATTATGGGATAAGGTACTCCCACTGAGTCCTTTCCTGCTTCTGGGTTCTTCTTTTCGTGATCCTGTTTACTCTTGGCTTCTACGCATGACTCACACCAATGAGCAAAAGGTAGGTGTGTTGCTTCGTGAGCAAGTCGTTCTTCCTCCGAGGGTTTGTACGGTTCTGCTTCCACTCGTACTTTCTTCTTCTCTTCGCTCTTTAGTTTCTGCGCAGACTTCTGCATCTCCAACTCTGACAACGGATTTCCGTCTCCATCGTAGGTTGGTCCCAATACTCCTTCGCTCCTTCCAGGGGCGATACTTACCGGTACCACCGGTGTACTCAGTTCTTCTGGAACTCTTCCTTCACCTCTAGCAAAAGGTGTTTCCGGTCCTCTCGAAACCATGACCGCTTCAAAGTCTCGACAGAAAGTGAAAAAGTTTCCACTCACTGCATGTAGGATAACACAGATCCTTTTCGGTCTTCCATGACACTCTGCAATTTCCACATTGTGGCTCCTGATAGAACCATAGTCCGAGTACAACTCGACCAATGACCATTCACTTCCTCCTTCCGACACCATTGTCGTCCTATACTTCCATCCTGGAAAAGCATCCTTAGGATCCATATAAGTCGTTCCTTGATACAAAATAAATGGTGTACCGTCTTCCATGATCGTCCAATTACCACTGGGTGTACTGTCCAACAGTTCCCTTAAATAGTTTGGAATACGTACTGTGACGCTTCTCTCCACTGCAGTCCGACTGTCAGTGCTACCTCGTGAGCTTCCATCGCTCCGACCTGTTCCCGTCCAACGGGTGCTACGATCACTTCCGACAACAGATAATCTACCTAACAAACAACAACTGTTCCGTTTGTAAAAGATCCTCGCGTTCGCTCTTCCATCTGGGCTAACCAGAACCATTGACAACACTGTAAGGTTCCACTGAGCACTAAGAGCTTTCTCACCCTCAGGTACTTCTGGCTGATACTCCAGTTTCCAGCCATTCTTCAGCAGTCTTCCCATCGACAACAGAATGTTTGTCGCATCGCTTACAATAAAGCTTTCCGAAATACTGGGGGCTGTCCAACAGTCCTCTCCTTGTTCCACTGCGATCACTGCCGTGACCATTCCTGCTGACCTAATTGCATTCCCTTGGGCATCCTCCAACATGATACCCGTTGTTCCTGCGTTCATGCGTGTAGCCTTCGGATGTGACCTAGGTAACAAACT